CGGATTATTTCACAGAGTGGGTCTGTCTGCTGAGTGGTAGGAGGAGGGGGAGAGCAGGGTGACACTGTCAGACAGACACAGTGGCCTTAATGGTTCAACACTTTGGAACATATGCTTGTTTGCTTTTGTACAGATGGAAGGTTGATATACAATATGTGTCTGTTAAATAACACAACAATTGGTCAGCTTAGCTTAGCATAAACACTAGAAACAGGTGGAACGATAGCCTGGTTCTGTTCACAGGTGACAGAAATGTCTTTCCAAAAATCTCCAAAGCTCACTAATTAACTTTTAGTATCTTGGTTGCTGAATCTGCAGTTTTATTGACCATTGACCAGGCTAGCTGCACAGAGCAGGCCAAGATCCTTGAAATAATTGAATCCTACCAAGCAGAAGGATGAGCTGCCCTGTGACCTAGGAGAGAAATGGAAGCATTCGAGAGGTCTCAAGAGGACGAAGGGGGAGGAGGAGTCCTTTAGCTGTTGAATGAAATGAAATGCTAGAAATTAATCTTGTAGTCATGCAACAGTAGTTGAGTTCAGCTACAGAGACTCTAAAAAAACACACACAAAAAAACACTCACTGCTCTTTAGTACTCCATTCATAACCCCTGTTGTTTTTCATCAAATGCGACTGTTCAACTGAAATCACACTGTTGTCATCCTGTCTCATGTAACTTGTTCTGCAAGGAGCTGAGCGTATTTGCTCCATGAGCACGCAGCCATAAGCTGATCCACCGCAGCCTACTACAGTTAAACAGCACCATCTACAGGACCACAAGTAGCATGAAACCAACAACACGTGATGGCTGCTTGCATCCCCAGCATGTTGTGTCTGACAGGAAAGGTAGAGCAAAGTGCTCCAGTCTTCAAGATATGTTGTTCTGAGTCAGCCTCAAAATACATTATGGTCCCAAAAGACATTTCAAAGGACACCAGGAAATGTGCATTGTTCATACAATCTTCAGCACAACAAATATTGTTGATAACATAGCTACAAAATGGTTTAAACCCGAAACTCCAAAAAACAGGATTTGATGAGATTATGTCCCATGTAGAGGTATTTGTGTTATGATGAAATACACTTCATGACAATCTACATGGACAGCAGGCAAGGGGAAATGTGCTGGGATAAAAATAGTCCTTTTCATCTCACACCATCTGTACACCCTTCAGGTCTCTGACTCTGTACTGGATACTGCTGGAATACAGCACTATACTACAATTTGTGCCTCTCAACAAACAGTATTTAAAAAACTATTACTGTAGACTTTACCATTAAAGCACTGAAGCAGTACATGACCTCAGGAATCTAAAAATCTAAAGTTACCAACAGAACAGTCTTACTCACTAGTTTAAAAAACAAATAGTGGTTAAGGTGTATTCGGTGTTGACTTTGCATGTCATCATCCTCTCCTTCAGTGTTTGCTCTCTCAGGCACAATACAAAAATTTTTCACTTGAAAAACTGATTCAGTCACACACAGTTCAGAAATGAGCACACCATGAAAAGAAGAGTAACTTCATGCTTAGCAAAATGCTTCCTTTGACAAAACCGATTCACAGCAGCCAACTAAACAAAACTTGTACATTGAACTGGAGGAGGCAGATGAGTTTACTGAAATCCTTTTTATTTGACATATGTGAAATACTGTCAGTAATCTCAGTAAATCATCAGTGCACTGGTAAACTTATTATACATAACAGATTATCCATGAGGTTTTGTGGTAAAACTGAGAAGCACATCATAGATGTATTTCTGGAACAATACCATTTCTCTTTGTGCACGTCATTTGCATCCAAATTAATAAAAACAAATGTAGCTGCTAAAGGGTTCCTAGTATAGAGTGACCTCTAACTTCCCTGATTGTAACAAAAACACCGAACACTGTAACGACATATTCCCCTTTGACCCGATGGGGAATCCTGATTGTAGTGAGAAAGAACATTTTGGCAACATGTGAATAACATAATATTAATATTGATGTCAAGGCTGAGCCAACCAAGGCATCTCAGACAACAGAAAAATGAAACGGCTAACGCTCTCTGGCTGGACAAACTAATCATGAGTACAGAGGGGTTGGCCGCACATGACATCATATGGTTTTACTGTGAGATTGAACACTACACATGGAAGCAATAATTAGCTCAGTGTTATAAAAAGGCAAATTCTACATTTGTATTACGTTCAAACCTACATGCACGGCCTTAACAAAAAAAATTACACTGGCTAAATTGGCTGCTGATAAGTAAGTGGGGGCTCTTGGAGTGACACTGGAGATTCCTGCCAGATTCAGTGAAGGAAGACTGGACATCATGACAGAGTGCAGGTGGGAGACACAGTGGCAGAAAGACTTTGGCTTCCACTTCTTCTGCTTTTGTTTTCCTTCTCCGCCAGGACACTCTTCATGTCCCACATGGGAAACAATCATGGCTGGACCCCAGCTCTTCTCTCAGAAACAGATGGCAGCTGGTCTGAAACATGTACAGTTTGTCATTGAAAAACAAAACCATTCCTTACTAACGTCAAATCATTTACCAGGTATTAGAGCCTGTATATGTTAAAACTATATCACAAACAGAAAGCTACACAGGTCTTCGTCAGGAACAGTTCACTTGCACGCGTTCTGTAGTTTCCAATACCACCACAACACCGAACGATAAACAATGTATGCAAAATCTCACATTGTTAATAAGCAATGGAGCG